TGAGCTTTCTCAGGTCATGCTTAAGAATTTTATTTTAATTAAGCAATTTTTCAATGTTTGGATTTATTATTATTATTATTATTATTATTATTATTATTATTATTATTATTATTATTATTATTATTATTATTATTATTATTATTTGTGATCTTGACTCATTCAACAAATGAGAAGTGAAATGTTTTCGACAACCAAACAAAAGAGTCCATATGGCTGTGATGTAATTTGTTAACTTGCTGACTAATATTTCAGCTTTAGGGTTAATTTAAGCCAAAATTATGCAGCAGATATCAGAATGTTAGTGTGTTTCTGCCTGAGAACCAAGCTTCCATGTGGAGAGGTCAGAAATTATTTTTTAAGCCATCACTTTATCTCCAGTAGTGTTTCATTACATTTTTCATAGCAGCAATCATTTATAACTTTATTTTTCACGATAATGGCAGCAAGAGCCATTTATATCAGTAATTACACCCACTTACAGCTCCATTCTCATTTTAGCTCATCCTGATGGATGACATGTGGCTTCCCTTCTGAAATGTGGGTGTGTTCTGTTTTGGTCCCAGCTGTGTAAAAAAAGAAATGCATGCATGTTTACTTGATTATGTCTTTTTTTTTTTTTAAAGTCACATACATTTACTTTCACATGCATACATAAAACGATCCAATCAGCCGCAGCACCAGAACGCAAACTTGATTTAATCGTGAGCAGGAAGTGGATATTTAAAATATTGCGTTTAATCAGATTTAGCATTTTTTATGAGCCCGTGCCTCATCCTCAAATCATGTTAAGATGTTTGGAGTCATAGCAGCTCATTCTCTGCTCACTGCTCACCCTCTGCTGCTCGGCCCTCCCTCCTAATGAATGCCAGTGATTTCCATAAAATATTCTTAAAGAGGTCCACTATTATTACCATACCGTTTCATCTTCCGCCATGGCTAAACTTCAATCAGTTTTGCATTTTAAATGCATTAAATGTCTCCATAAACTCTTCTAATCTCTACCCGAGTCATTTTTCTTCTCTAACGGCTTTGTGTAGAAAGGGAAACTAATATTAAAGGCATTAATTACACGGTTTCTCTCTCTCTCTCTCTCTCTCTCTCTCTCTCTCTCTCTCTCTCTCTCTCTCTCTCTCTC